GAGAAATAATAAAAGCACTGAAACATGGCCTCATGCCTCAGCTCTCTTCTAACCATCTCCATTTAGACAAGAATAATGTGTACTTAGCCTAAGCAGGAAGCCATGTGCCTTTCTCTATAATTTAATCAAAACTTCCAAAAAGTGAATTAAAGAGAACCCATTTGGGAATCTATCTCTCTTTCTCTAATGGGTTTTTATTGCTCAGATGAAATGGTTACCGTTCCAAGTGTAATTGATTCAAAGGGGTAGCTTGAGATGATTGCAAACTAACTCCCTAAAATGGGGATTCCTAATCATTAGAGTGTCTTTGTGGGGAAGATATATGTCCCTCTTAGGTTGTCCCTCATTCCTTTTTACCCCCTTGCTTGAGTTGATGTGGTGCTTTGATTAGTCAAGTGTCCCTAAACCCACCCCTAAGGACAAGTGCTCATCATTTCTCAGTTAAACAAGATTGCACTTTTTGTTTATTTATATATTTATCCACCAACACCAACCATAATTTTCAGTCTTTTCCTATTATTGGTGGATCATATGGTATATAAGATGATAATCATTTCATTTTCTTTTTTTACTGTACTTCAACAATCCAACATGCATTTAAAATTTATTACTTTTAAAGAAAAGAGATCAATATAATTTTAAAACTTAACTAATTCTTTGGTGAGGCTTGATAATAATATTGATAAATGATGAAGCTTGTTATATATTGATATTGATATTAGTATTGGTTTCCCATATGATTACCCTAATTAAGTACCAATAATGAATTAGGTTGACTAATAATCTAATATGTGAAGGATTGACATGAAGCACTCCCAAAAAAAAAAAAAAAAAAAAAAAAAAAAAGGAAAATGGTTGACATCACTTTTTATTTTTCTGAAATTTCGATTCAATTAAACTACAAAAGTAAAAAAGGGAAATAGATAATCATGTGATTGTCTTGGAAATTCACATGGACATTGACAAAAAGTGCCACTAAATAATCCCATCACTGAAATAATCAAGTCCCTTTTTATGTTTCTTCTGGCCAATGCCTTGGGGGAAAAAACGCACCCTAGATAAGACCTGAATGAGAGATAAGCCAAGGATTTCTGCGTTGTCACTTGTTGATTGGTCATTACCAACAAAGATATTTGCAAATGGCCAGCATGGATTTTAGTGAATTTAGAAGATGTCAGACTAAGAAGATAGCCTTTTTTATAGACATTAAAGTAGGTTTTCTAAGTTATCTTTTTTAAAAAAAATTTATATTTGTTTTTAACAGAGCCTAACATGTACCCCCACATCAAGTCTGCTCTATGCTTGATATATAAAGCATAGTACCTTCATTTGCATCATTTATCTCTTTCTCCATTTCTTCCATTGTCATCCAAAACATAATCCACATCAGTTTATGGAAGATCAGTTTCCTAAATTAAAAACCTTCTTCCCCAAGGAATGGTCACCTTCTGCCTATGGCTTAATGGGATCAAAATCTTTGTCCAATCCAATCATTTGGGATGCTCTATCAGGGACTGTATGTCCCGAAGATGGCAGTGTGGGAAGTTTCAAGCTTTTTAAACCATCCTCCTCGCCATCATCACCAGATAGGCTGCTTTCGAGTTCGAGCTCAAGTTCTTCAGCAGATCATGATAAGGTGGCTGCAGGTGCCAGTTTGGTGAATAACATTTCTGGATTCATTAAACAGGAAGGTCTGTCAGGATTCTGTTCTATTCCTGATGTGGTTTCTCTGAACTTCCTTGAATCTTTTCCCGAGCTAAATCAGCCTGCTCAGGTTTCTGAGCCGCCTTCTCCTCCTTCTTCATTGTCAAAATTCCCCAACTTGACTCTGTTTTTGCCTGAACCTGCCATGTTTCATCCTTCAATACAGAGTGAAAGGCTAGCTCCGTCTCAAAATCTCACATTTCAAATATCCGAAACAGGGCAACAGGGCAACCAATGGCACCACATCATCAGTCAGAATTCTTGGAATTTTCCATCCAAGACTTTGAACAACCATTTGCTTGGGGTCACCAAGACACAGCCAATGAAGTACACAGGGAGAAGACTGCAGAACCAACATGAAAAGGGCAGCTCTTTCTTGGCGCCTAGAAAGCTGTTCAGAGGGGTGAGGCAGAGGCATTGGGGGAAATGGGTGGCAGAGATACGACTTCCAAGGAACAGGACAAGGGTTTGGTTGGGGACATTTGACACCGCAGAGGAGGCCGCCATGGCTTATGACACGGCGGCCTACATTCTCCGTGGGGACTTTGCAAACCTGAATTTCCCAGATCTTAAGCACCAACTCAAGGCCAATTCTCTCAGCAGCACCACAGCCGCCCTTCTTAAAGCCAAGTTGCAAGCAATTTCAGAGGGCATTTCTACTGCCAAGAAGACAAATTCTGACGATCCACCAGCGGTTGAGAAACTCAAAGATCTGAACCACAACTCAGCACAAAGAGGGGATGAGGAGGTGAATGAGAATAGCAAGATTCAGGAAGTAATATCAGATGTGGATCCTGTACAGTTGAGTAGAATGCCTTCCTTAGACATGGACATAATCTGGGATGCTCTTTTAGTTTCAGATTCATGACTTGTACATTTTTTTCTTTCTCATATTTTGAATCAAATGGAGTGATTTTGCATTCTGATTCGATGTTCAATTCTCTGTATAATGCTTCTGGCTTAATTTTTAGAGCTATTTGATTAATTAATTAAAATTTCCTTTAAAATGTTGGTTTTGGGTGCATTGATTTTAACAGGATTTATGCAGTTTTGATGTTTTCTGGAGTTGAAACTAGAGATCTTTGACTTCTGTAGCTGCCCAAACCAAGAATGTAGCTTGATGTCTAAATGGTGGGTCATGGGCCTTCTATAAGGGACAAAGGCCCTTAAAAGAGGAGAAATGTCCTTGGGCCACCTTGGATCCACTTCCTAATGACAATATTTATGGTCCTTTGTGAACTGCCAACCCCTCAATTTTATGATTAATGAGGTCTTTACGAGACTAGTGACAAACCCCATTGATCATAGAGCTGAGGTTTTAGCAATCTGCATGGAACGGATTGCAAAACACCAACCTCTTGGGCTAATGTGCAACAACCAGTATATATGTGTAATATGGTACTCATGAGCCTCTTCATTAATTAGTAAGTAATTGTTCTAAATTGGTTAAAAATTGAATGTTGTTAATCATATTTTTCTCTTGTTTTGGCTGAAGCCTGAAGGGTATCTCAACAGAACAACTTGGTTTATTACTAAGACATCATCAGTACACAGGGACAATTTATTTAGATCAAGGAAATCATTATTATTTTTGTTAATTTTGAAGTCTCCCCAAAGATCAACAAGTATACTTCATGGGCACTTGTGTTGTGCTTGCCTTCCTTTGTTAAAATGTTGTTGTAGCATGGACACCCCTCCCTATGGCCATAGAAACCAGATGGAACACATAAACATCTCTCGCAACGGTAGTTGCAGAAGAACACACAGCACTCCTTGTGATGTGTCTTGGAACATCGATAGTCGCATGCCTTTGGACAATCTGAAAAAATATA